TAAACAGACGAGACGAAAAAACAAAAAAAAAAACATTTTTTTTCTTTTTTTTTCTCCTTTCACTACTGATGAAACGACGTGTCATTAAATACGTCACACAATGTTTTTCATCGTGGCTGCAAGGGAGAAAAAAAAAGAAAAAGAAAAAAAGGGAGTTTTAAAAACAAAAAAGGAAAACGACTGCTCGGTCACGCCCCGAAGGTTTTTTATAATTTGTCAAAAACTTATCGGAATCCATTATTATTATCATCATCATCATCATCATTATTATTATTATTATTATTATTATTATTATTATAAAACTTTTGCCGACATTTTTGTTTTAACTACATTTTTTTTCTTTTTTGCAAACGTTTCAAATTTATTATACGTAATTTTTTTTAAAGTAAAAAACGTGATGATGACGGTTATTTTTTCGTGTAACTAGACACTTGCTAACAAACAAACAAATTATTAAATACGATTTGAAAACAAGAGAAAGTTTTTCTAGTTTTTATTTCGATTTAAAAACTTTACGACGTCCTTGATATTTAATATTAAAAAAAAAAAAATGGCGGAAAATTATTAACGGAAATAATATTTAAACGGATATAATAAAATTTACGCTAAATTTAGTTTTTTAAAAATTAATAATAATAATAATATTGATGATGATGATGATGATGATGATGATGATGATGACGTAAAGAAATGATTTAATAAAAATTTTTAAAAAGGAAAAAATAAGCTTATAATTAATTTTATTAAATAAAAGAGAAAATTCGTGGAAAGAAAATTCTAATTAAAAATGGCGTAAAATGTGTCACATTAAAGTTGAAAACCTTAATCTGGAAAAAAACCATTTTTAGTTTTAAAAAAAAAATTTTTTTTTTTCTTTTGAAAACTTGAACGCCTTGAAAAATAATAAGAATGAAAATCGTGTTGTTGTCTCCAAAAAAAAAGTTGATTCGTATTTCAGGTGTGCCAACTTATCTGACACGAAAAAAAAAAAAAAAAAAAATTTCTCACATGCCGAACGAACTCGTTTATATAAAACGACGGAAAAATGAATAAATAAAATTTTCTAAAAAAAAAACGGTTCAAGGTTTTTATTAAATTTTTTATGCCATTTTTAAAGAGAGAGAGAGAGGAAGAGAGAGAGGGGAGAAGGGAACCCAGAAGGAAAAATGAATTTTCAATTTTTTTTTCCTCCCCTCCCTCCGTAAATTATTTATTCATTCCATGAAAATTATTTTAAATTTTTTTCTTTTTTTTTTCTTCCAGTTTTTTTCATCCCTCCCCCTTCGTCCCCCCCCCTTTGCCACTTCCCTCTACCCTCCCCCACCTTTTTTTACTTTATTACGACCATTATTATTATTTTTATTTGTCATTTTTATTGTGACGGATGTTCCCGTACGGAAACATCGTTACATTAAAAAAAAAATTATTATTATTTTTATTCTTTCTAAAAGAAAATTCATTTCCCCCCCCCTCTATTTTAACGTCGTCATCGACGTTATCGTCTACGTCATCACCGACGTCATCATCGTCGTCGAGGGTAATTTAACTTTTTATTTACTTATTTTTGCTGTTTTGTAATCTCTGATGAAAAATTTAAACGTAATGAAAAAAAAAAAAAAACCGTTAAAAAAAATAAATATAAATAATAATAATAATAATAATAATAATAATAATGATGATGATGATGATGATGATGATGATTTTTCTTTTAATTTGATGACGAGTAAAAAAACATGGCGGCAATGTTGTTATAAGAACGACAATTTTTTTCTCTTTTTTTTCTTTTTTAATGTTTTGTTGTTTTCACGCTTCGAGGCATAAAAAAATTAAATAAAAAAAAAAAAAAAAGAAATTTTCAACTTAATACCATATTTTTTTCTTCTGCTTTTCTTCTGCTTTTCTTTCTTTAAAAAAAAAATTAATCAACGAAAACAATTAAAAAAATAAGAAAAATTAATTTCTTTTTTTCTTTTTTTTTTTCCTTCGATGAATGAAATTGAAACTTTGATAACAAAAAAAAAAAAAAAATTTATTATTATTATTATTTTTAGAAACGTCTATTTATTCCTGCAGTAGGTTTTTACCCGTTTGTTTTGTTTGTTTGTTTGTTTATTTTTAAAACGAAATTAATTAGAAAAGTTCATAAATGTTATTTTTAAAAAGGGTCAACTGAAGTTATATATATATATATTTTTCCCAAAGTATACAAAAAAAAAAAAACCATTTTTGTTGTTGTTGTTGCTGCTGCTGTTGCTGTTGTTGTTGTTTTCGTTACTTTTTTGTCGGAAGAAGGAAAAAAAAAAAAAAAGAAAAAAAAAAACAATTTCATAAAATGGAAAGCTTTCATTCAATTTTTTCATTTTTTATTTTTTCCACGTTGTTTTCATTATTATTATTATTATCATTTGTCTCCGTGCGTGTTGTGCGTGTGTGTGTGTGTGTGTGCGTGTCACAGTTCGCGTGCACGAGTTATTATTTCCGTTAAAAAAATTTTTTTTTTAAATAAACTCTAAAAATGTATTTTTCGTACATCATCATCATCATCATTATTATTATTATAATCATTTGCCGTCAAAAATCCATCAAATTGATTTATGATGTTTTTATTAATATAAGTATTATTATTATTATTATTACTAATACAAAAAAATTTGTCAAACAAGTGAAAAATGTTTGTTTGTTTGTTTAAGTTGGTTTTCTCTTTCCCTCTCTGTCTGTTTGCTTTTTAATAAAATTTAATTTTTTTTTTGTTGTTGTGTTTCCGGTTGCGCTCATTAATTTTTTTAATTAACAAACAGAAGAGAAGGAAGGAAGGAAGGGTGGGGGAAACGAAAAAATTACTTTTCCAAACGCGTTTTCGTCGAATGAAAAAAAAATCGTTTAAATAAAAATATATCGACGAAAAAAAAAAGAACGAAAAGGCAAACAGCCGTGAGAAAAAAAAAAGTAATTTTCCAGCCGAGAAAATTGTTGTTCCAGAGCTTTTTCCAAAAAAAAAAAAAAAAGGGAAATAAAATTCTTTAAAAAAAAGTTTTTTGGCGAGATAAAAAAAAAAGTTTTTTTTAAAAATAATGTTATGCTAATTTTAACGTTTTTTATTTCCTTTCTTTTCTCTCTCCCTCTCTCTCTCTTTCAACGTTTTTTTTCCAGCCATTCATTTAATTGATTTTGTTTGTCACGGAGAAAATTTTTGGAAAACAATCGACGATAGAAAAATGTGTCATTTTAAATTATTAAAACAAGAGATCGAAGAGAGAGACTCTCTCTCTCTCTCTTTCTCTCTCTTTTGATAGAGTAATAACAATTACTTTTTTTTGGGGGAGGGGGGAGGAAAAATTTCAACGAAAAAAAAGAATATTCGAGATCTGGAAGGCATCGTTTTTTTAGCAGACGAATAACAAAAAAATTAAATTTTTTTCTTTTTTCCCTTTGGGTAAAATATAAAAATTAATTTCGATTTGATAAGCATGTTGTTGTTGTTGTTTGTTGTTTGTTGTTTGTTGTTTGTTGTTTGTTGTTGTTGTTGTTGTTTGTTGTTGTTGTTGTTGCGGTACCTTTTGGTGAAATAAAATAAGAGTTTTCAGTTTAGAAGTTTCAAAACCGGAAAAACATTTATATTTCCCTTTCCATTTCCTTTTCCTCTCATCATCTAATTTCAACCGCCTTGCACCCCCCGCTCCCCGCTCCGCCTCCTCTCTGGCGATTAAAAACGTAATCATTATCAATTGTTTTTAATTATAATAATTTTAGACAGGTGTCGCTAGCGTAGAAAAAGGGGAACCCCATCGGAAAATTAAAAATTAAATTTTTTTTTTTGTATCTCTCACCCTTAATCCCTCTCTCTCTCTCCCTTCCTTTTTCTCTCTCTCTCTTTCTCTCTTTCTCATTAAAAGCAGACGAAATTTTTTTTTTGTTTATATATAAATTTCGTTAAAAATTAAGTAAGTAGTAGTAATAAAAAACAAAAACTTTTTATTTATTTATTTATTTACATCTCTCGTCCTTTTTTTTTTTTGCGGTAAATCATAATTAAAAAGTGAGAGAGAGGGAGAGAGCAAAATTTTATCCGTAGCAAAATAAATAAATAAATTTATTAAAAGGGATTATTTAAAAAAAAAAAAAAAAAATTTTATGTTTATATATATTTTGATTAATTAACTCGACTGTTGTTGGTTTTTCGGTATAAATGAGAAAATAAGAATCTTTTAATTAACTAATACGTTCTTGATATTAATTTTTTTTAATTATCTGGAAAACCTCCTCTTCGGTCGTTAGATAATAATAATAATAATAATAATAATAATAATAATAATAATAATAATTACTCGTCGCATAATTATGGAAAGAATTGCCAACTTTTGAAAACGATCTTAGATATATTTATTCGAAAGGGAGTAAAAAAAAAAAAAAAAAACAAGTAGGCCGCGTTTGCATATACTTTCATTAAATGTTTGTTTTGATTTTAATCGTTTTCTCCATTTTTTTTTACTTTTTAATCTTCTTCTTCTTCTTCCTTTCTTTCTTTCTAGGGCTCGTTACGAAAAACATAAAAAAAAAGTATTTAATTTAATTAAAAATAATTATTTTTTATAGTACCCATGGTGAAGTAGAAATTACAGCAAAATTAAATTTATTTACGAAAAAAAAAAAATTTCTTAATATTTAATTGTTTTATCATTATTATTATTATCTATACAAGAACGAATGCAGTCAATGATGATGATAATAATAATATGGGGATTTTATATTAAGGAAGAAAAAAAAAATATTTAATTGAGTTTACACAATAGCGTCGGTGGTGAAAAGTAAATGTTAAAAATGATAGAAAGAAAGAGAAAGAGAGAGAGAGGGCGGATCTCGTGAACTAAAAAAAAAAAAAAAAAAAAGAGTTCGAGGTTGATATGTGACCTTTTCATTTCGATTCATCATCTATAATCGATTTTTTTTTATTAATTTTCATAACTTTTCAGTAAATGGACGGATATTAAAATTAAACTGTTATGAATGAAATTTATGATTTGATAAATTTGTTAAGTATTCACTCTCTCTCTCTCTCTCTGGCTCACATACAACCTCTCTCTTTCTCTCTCTCTCACATCTCTTCCTTTCTTTCTTTCCTTTGGAAAAAGGAATATTACTTTTTTTTCTGGTAAATTTTTTTAAAATTAGTTGACAAAATCGCAAAAATATCAATAATAATAATAATAATAACTTTTGTGAGTGTATGTGCTTGTGCGTGTGCGTGCGTGCGTTTTATTTTCTCTATGATTTCGATTTATTATATTACGTAACGTATCAAATTTTATTATTTTTTTATTATTTTTTATTTCTTTATCGTTTTGTAGTTTTTACGATTCGACGTGACACGAAGTATTATAATTTTTAAATAAAATTATTTACAACTGACATATTGATAACTTTGTTTAAAAAAATTTATAAAACGGTTACATTGTTCGTTCCGCCATTTTTAAATTTTTTTTATGTGAGGTAAATTAATAACGAACATCGGATAAAATTTAAAAAAAAAAAAATTAACCCTTGTATATTTCATTACATAAATTCGTCATGATCGAGTAAATAATAATAATAATAAAATAGGGAGCGGGCGAAGAGGGAAAGACGGGGGGAAAATATAAAATGAAAACGACGATCAGATTCAGGCACGATATTTATTTTCTTTTTTTTTTTTGTTGCTCTTAAAAAAAGTCAAAATTGCCAAAACGAAATTCGTTCAAGGAAAAAAAAAAAGAAAATTCTTGCCAAATGAATGATGACGTAATAAAAATAATAAAAAAAAAATGAAGTAGGATTTGTTGTTGTTGTTGTTAACGTTTTAAAAAAACTAAAAAATTTGTCAACCGTAATTTTTTTATTTTTATTTGCTTTTCAACTCGAATTTATTTATTTTTTAGGTCAGCAATACTTTGTATCGGAAAATGGTCAGAGATTTTTTAACGCGTTTCAACAAAATCCATTTCAAAATTATTATCAAACTCAACAACCGCAGCCGCAACAACAACAACAGCAGGCATTGCAACCGCAGAGAACCATAACGTTTCCTCCGCAGGGACACTATCAAACTCAAGATGTGAGAGCATCGGAAATTCCTTTGCAGTACCAACAACATCAACAACAGTTGCCTCAATATCATCAATTTAATGTGCCTCCACAATATTCTGGGTTTCTACCGATTCAACAACCGCAAACATCAACACCCGTTCCTCCGACGACCCTACACGGCTTACAACCTTTTCAACATGTTTTTACCCAGGATAAAAATTTCGTTCAACCTCCGGGTACGGTGAGACCTCAATTTTTCGTGGACCAATTTGGAATTCAACATTCCGCCGTTCAAAATAACGTTCCGACGGATTTATTAAGAACTTCGGCACGTCAAAAGGAAACAATAAAACCTCCAACTATTGTCGGTGGTAAATTTCCAGTCATTGCTCAGGAACCTTATCCGAATGGATATAATAACAATGGCGGCGGAATTCAAGTCGTTCCTTCCAAGGAAATCTCGTCGAATAATGTTAAAAACGAAGGAAGCCGAGCTCAATTTGGTATTCGGGGTAATAAAATAAATGAGTTTTCCGATCAAAGTTTTAATACGAAACAAACACCGTACAAAATCGATAGAAATAGATTTGTCGAAATTCCTGAAGAGGCTTATTCGAGAGGAGAATCGATAAGACCGCATTTGAGCGATTTTGAAAACGATTATTCGAAAACTTCGAAACAGTTTTTAAAAGAAACGGTAACGGTTCCGAGGAAACCAGTTCAAACGACGAAACCACCCCAAGTGGTAAATGATATGTCTAATGTTAAACTTAAAGTACCCTTCGAAGATGACGTAAAACCTATAAAAGCCATTAAAAAAATTGATCCCAAGGAAAATGTGCCAACAGTCAGTGAAAAACCTAAAGAAACAGGAACAACAATAAAAAATGGACATTCGAATGGACAAGCATTAGGAGTACATTCGTTAAGAGAATATTCTAATGTTGTGACTCCGCCGACTCCGAAAAATGTTTTACCACCTAAAGAAGAACCAGAAGATGATTATACGGAAGAAGAATACGATTCTGAAGAAGGATTAGAAGATTATGAAGAATATTCAGAAGAAGAAGACGAAGAACCTTCCGAAGAAAGTTTAACTAATAAATCAAAAGAAAAAAATCGTGGGGCTAATGAGGAAGAAGAAGAAGAAGAAGACGACGAAGAAGGTGAAGAAGAAGAAGATTCCGAGGAGGAAGAAGTCGATGATGATGATGATGATGATGGAAAAGAAATTTCAAAAAAATTACCCGAATCTCCAACGAAATCGATAAAATCACCTGAGCCTTCCCTCGTCAAAGGACTTCATGAATCTGTTGAACCCCCTAAAAATTCTCATAAAATATTAGAATCGACGGAAGAATCAGTTACCAAATTGCCAGAAACTACAAAACAACAATCAGAAAAATCATCGGAAAATTCTGAAGAAGATGAAAAACCAACGGAACCACCTAAACCACCTCGTCCCGTTCATCATCATAATTTTTTCAAAACTCCAAGAATTCCTGGTTCTCCTATTTCTAAAACGTATCCGAGTAACAACCTTCGACCTTTTAAACATTATAATCTTAATTCTAATAATTCGAAAAAAGATGATAAAATTCCGTCGAAAACGGAAACTGAAACCACGACAACATCTGGAGATGGTAAGAGTGATCAGTTGTCGACTCCAAAAGGTTCATCAGAACCTACTGAAAGTTGGGTAATTGTTGCATCGGTTCAAACAAGCAGAAGCGTATCCGGTGCAAGATTCTTACCATCGGGTATTGTAACACAGAAAGAAAGAAATGAAACGTTGGTAAGCAACGATACAAAAGATGAAGATACCGGAAAAAGAAAACAATTTTCTCCATCGAAATTTTCACCTAAAACAAATAAATATACGACTCCGAAATCCATTACTACCGTTATTGAAACAACAAAAATTGCTTCAACGAGTGAAACTACAACACCTACCCCTGTTACCACTAAAACTTCCGCCCCTTCATCCCCTTCATCTACGTCATCCCTATCAACTTTAGCAACATCGTCTACAGCATCATCTACGACAGCGTCATTATCAACAACGACGGTGGTAGCGCCTTCTGTTAAAAACGTGACTACTGTTAATGTTACGTCAGCATCTTCGACAACACCTTCCACCGTGACTACGGTAACTTCAACAACAACTTCACCGTCAACCGAGAGTATTAATGACAAACTCGATAGAGTTCAATCCGAATTATCGATTGACATTTTATCGGGGAATTTTCCTAAACAAGACCAAGTTTTAACAACTCCAGAGGTTAATAAAACAACAATTACAACAACGACGACGACGACGACAAGCACAACATTAAGCACTCCTACAACCACAGAAGAAGAAGAATCAGATGATGATTCTACACCTTTCTTGGTCAGAAAATTTTCACCGTCGGGAAAAAGAACGACGACAACTGCAAAACCGAATAAGAAACTTAATTCACTCATGGAAAGTTTACATTTTGATGATTTAACTGGATTGTTACCTGCTGGGTTTAAACCTAGAGGACAATTTAGCAGAAAAAGCACGACCGAAGCAGGAAGTAAAACAACCGAAAAGCCAGAGCCGAGAACAACCACACGTAAAATTAATTTCAAACCTAAATTTGGTCGAAACAAAACCGAAGGAGCAACCACACCAACTAGTGCTACTACCACTGTAACAACAACCACTACAACCACTACTGCTCTACCTATAAGTTTGGCAAGTTTGGGAAAAGTTAAATTTCAAGAAGACATTTCATCTTTGTTGCCAAAGGATTACAAAGGAAAACCAGAAGACAAATCACCCACAACCTCCGCGAAAACTGTTGTCACTACAACATCAACAACAACAATCAAACCGGAAATCAAATCTAAAGATCTTTCAAGTTTATTGGGTAAAATTAAATTCCAAGACCCAACAAATCTTCTTCCACCAGGTTTTAATCAAACTATGGTAGATAAAAAACCGGAAACATCGACCAACGCATCAAAAGGATTAGAAAGTGTTTTCTCAAATGTAAAACAAGTTGACGTGAACGCTTTTCTTCCACCTGGTTTTACATTAGGTTCTTCGACAACCGTTCCAACTACAAAAGTATCGACGACAGAACACCAAAAAGGTCCCGTTTTTCCAACTCGAGCGGGAGGCGTAACGAGAAAACCATTTGGTCATCAAACTACAGAGAAACCAGCCGCCGCACTTTTACCGGAAATTCCAAAAATACAAAAAGGATGGCCTCAAAGGTAAATTATAAACAAACAAACAAACACAAACACATAATTTTTATAATTTAATCATTAATATAAAATCGATGACGTTTTTAGAGCGACAACTGCATTCACCGGTTGGCCAACACCATCGACGACACCAATTTCCATCGAAAAACTATTAGAGTTGGCCAAATTAGCAACGAGCGAATCATCGTCTACGCAAGAAGTAACAACAAGCACGACGACGACGACAACAACGACCACAACAACAACAACAACTCCAAAACCGACGACACCTGGAATATGTACCGAAGATTGCGAACTTGCTGGTACCGTCAAATTGGTTGAAGGTGTTAAATGGGTACCAGAACTTTTAGATCGTAATACAAAAGAATGGCAAGATTTAGCCAACGAAGTTTTAAATGAGGTGATTGATTCGATATCTCGAACACGAAAGAACATATTTCTAGAACATTTTTATGTAAAAACTTTTTCTTTTTTTTACAGTTGGACTATTTTTATAGAAACTCCGAAGAACTTAAACATTTATACAAAGGAATCCGAATCGATTCTTTTAGGTAAGACACAGTACCTTAATATTATTATTATTATTTACGACGTGTTAGAGAAGAAAAAAATTATATTTTTTTACTTACAGTCCAGGAAGCGTTTTAGTCGATTACTTTGTAGAATTAGCAGATCCCGAAGGTGAAATAAGCACTCAAGAAATAAAAAAATTATTCAATCAAGGTTTGACCGAAGAATCACCTGAAAATGAAAGAAATCAAAAAAGTTTGGAACTCGATGAAAATCGAACGGATGTTGATAGCAGAAGAGAAGGGAAAACACTTAAATTGGGTAAATTTTCCGTTGATCCAAAGTACACGGATTTTGTTGGTAAGTTGATTTATCTACTCCCCCCCCCCGTGATAAGGTATCATCTTAAAAACAAACCTCAAAACCAAAAATTTGTTTTTTTTCTTATTCTACAGTCGTGCAGAAACAAATGTACCCATCGGTTAGCTTCGCAGAAGATGATACATTCCTTCCTCAATGGGCTATAGCCGTTATAGTAATCGGTTTAGCTTCTCTTCTATTCGTTATAATATTTGGAGTCACTGTGGTAAATGATTTTTTTCTCTCACTCTCTCCCCTCCCCCCAAAAAATGTCACATTTAATTAATTACGTATAATTTTCACAGCTTGTCAATCGTCATAAGAATAATAAGAAGAAAACTCCGACACCATTAACGGAAGAAATAATTAACGAAATGAACAAACAACAGCACATCGGTGGTTTCGATAATTACGGTGCTGATGATTTATACGGTATGGACGACGTTTGGAACGATTCCGGTTACGAAAAACCCCCGAAAAAGGTAAAACACCCGCCATTTTTATAATAAAGTTGAATAACTTGTCATTAGCATCGTGTGCGTGTGCGTGCGTGTGCGTCAAATTAATAATAACCCGCCACTCATTAATTACGTAATTAACGCCTTAAAATTTTCGATTATGTTATTTACAACGTTTCTTAACTAATATTGCCTAACTTTTTATATTAAGGCGTTTTATAAATATTTAATTAAATTTTAAAACTAGAAAGTAAAAAAAAAAAAATTTTTTTTTTTTTTTTTTTTTTGAAAACTGGAAATTTTCCTAATTATACATTATTAAAAAGTTTTACATTTTCCTGGATAAAAAAAAAAAAAAATGGAGAGTAAAAAAAAAAAAAAAAAACTTTTAAAAAGTTTATTAAAAAGTTTTACCGTGTAAAATAAAAAAAAAAAATTTTTTTTTTTCCTACTGTTGCTGTTGCAGAGATCTCACGGATCTTATGCCGATAATAGCATGACCAATCTCTACGACAGCTGGAGATCCGACTGGAATGGTTATTATTACAATTCGTATTATGGAGGAAGTGCTAGCGGTTATGGAGTCATAGGTGGAGGAAGAAGAAGATCCGATTACGATACAAATTTCTGAGAATGGCTTTACGACTCAAATGATGAATATGAGTCGTGATTTAATTTTTTAAATAAAATGGACGGAACCAAAGGCGAAAGTGTACGAAAGTAAAACACAAATGGCGGCCATTAAAACCGCCATGTTTTTTTTTTTTTTTTGAAATTCTCTGATCGGGGGAGAAAAACGTTTTCGGTTGTGATAATTTATAACTTTTATTAATAAACCTCGATATATATATATATATATATATATATGTGTGTACTTGCCAGAGGTTATTTTTTCAAATGTTTCTCTCTATCTCTCTCTCTTCCGGTTTAAACAAAAACGGATATACTTAGACTTTCGTAACGGTTTTTAACGAATTTTTTTTTTTTTTTAAATTAATTAACGTGGGCCGTCCCACTTAATCTCGTTAATATTTTGCACAATTTTTATTATTGTTATTTAATTAATTATTACGAGAAGGCGGTGATTTATTTAAAAAAAAAAAAAAAAAGGCGGGAAATTTAAATTCATTTAATTAATATTATTAAACGATTTAAAATTTTATTATTATTATTACTTGTTGTTTACATAGACAACGCCGCGCGTGGTGCGTAGATAAAAACATTTTAAATAATAATAATAATAATGATAATGATAATACGTTATTAGTATTTCTATTAAAATCGAATAAATTTTATTTGTTAAAAAAAAAAAAAAAAAATGAAAAGACGAGGAGGAGCCATCGCACGCACGTTTATTAATTAATAAATAAATGTGATAATAATAATAATAATAATAATAAATAAATAAATAAATAAAATGAATGTTTAGTTGTCAACTTGTTTGTATAAATTTTTATATTTAATTTACCCGTTACATTCAATAAAATTTTTTAATAATAATAATAATAATAAAATTATTTTACGTTTGAAATGTATATATATATATATTATTGTTCTGCGTAAATGAATAAATTAAATATATATACATATATTTAAAATTTAAATAAAAACGATGATGATAATAATAACCTTTCAATTTATTCCATTTCCCCCTCCTCCTCTCCCCACCCTTTTCCTCCCCTCCCCTCTCTTATACATAATTATTTTATATAAAATAACACAAATTACAGAATTTAATTTCATTTCTAATTTAAATAAGGAAACGATAGTAATAATAATAATAAGTCAAACGAAGAGGATTATTAAAATTAATTAATTAATTAATAAGTAATGATAATAATAGTAACACGAATTTTTATTAAAATAAAATAAAATTAAAAATAAAATAAAACAAAATGAAAAACAAAATTAAAAATAAAATTAAAAACAAAATGAAAAAAAAAATTTTTTTAAAAATTAAAAATAAAATAAAACAAAATGAAAAATAAAATTTAAAATAAAATTAAAAATAAAATTAAAAACAAAATGAAAAAAAAAATTTAAAAAAAAATGAAAATAAAATTTAAAATAAAATTAAAAAATTAAAAACAAAAAAAATAAAAAAATAAAAAGTTAAAAATAAAAACCAATCGGCCATCTTGTCATTCCGTTTTTATCATAATAAAAAATTTTCACAGGCAGACAAACAAGCAAACAAACACACAAACATTTAACAACGTTCAATATATTTCTCTCGTGTAAATACATATTAATAATAATAATAATAATAATAAATGCATTGCAACGATTCCCTCTTTCCCTCTCTCACACTCTCACTCTCTCTCTCTCTCCCTTTCCCCTCAACTTTTCCTTTTCCCATTCGTTCCCATCGTTTTTCAAGTTTTTTTTTTTTTTTAAAATAAAATAAAATTAAAACAATAAAAATGAAAAGAAAAAAATTTTTGGTCGAACCTGAACGTGACTAGACGATAAAATTATTATTATCATTATTTTTTTCGGTTATGGTTTTAAAAAAAAAAAAAATTTTACGCGCGTTATTTAAAAAGAAAAAAAAAAAAAAAAAAAAAAAAAAAAAAAAAAACGTTTCAGGTTTTTTCAAGCTCGATTTTTTTAATAATTTTTTTTTTTTTTTTTTTTATTATTTCACGTTTAAACTTTAAATATATTCGTGAGTTCGTCCATAAGAGTTTCGAACCTGTACGCGACTCTTATGTTTGGCACGTTTGTCCGACTTATGTCGTTTCCGGCGACTCCTTCTTTCGTGTAATTGGGTCCCAACCAATGTTGTTTTATCTTAAAATAATAATAATAATAATAATAGTTTTTTTTTGACTTATTCGATGATGTCAATCACGCACGCCGAATAAAATGAAAAAAAATGAAAAAAAAAAAAAAAATTTTTTCTTACCTTGTGAGGAAAACCGCTCATTAAAACGCTGTTCCTGGCGAGTTCGCTCATGTCGCAAGCGCTCAATTTCCACACTTGCGCCGCTATGCTATACTCTTCCATTAAAGGTTCTTTAGTGAAGTGAAATTGAAGAGGATCGTCCGTCGACAGGCTCACGCATAAACCTCTCGCTATGTATTCCGGAAGTGGATTCCTATGGTAATTTAAAAAAAGAGAATTGTTGCTCAACGGACTCATGGCGATTCCGATTTGAGCCAAGTAATACAAATATTGGAGTACGGGAACTTTACGTAAAAGTAAACCGTGGGAAATGTTGTTGCAAAGAAGGAAACCGCAAACGAGATGTTGCACGGGACCTGCTTCCCCGCAATGAGGTCTCAATACGAAAGTGTTTAAACCCTGTTCCCGCCTGAATTCGTTCAAAACAACCAAATTCGCATACGTGTAATAAAGATAGTAAGCGTAGGGAGGATTTTCGGAATCGGACCATTTTTCCGGTGGCAAAACGTCTTTGTCGAAAAGTGGATTTTCAGGTTTGCTTTCGTCGTCAACCGAATCAAACCCGATGACCTGTTTTTTAAAAAAAAAAAAACATCAAATTAACTCGTGAAAAACAAATGGATAACTAAAAATCTGTTTTTTTTTTTTTTTTTTCGACATCCACAACAATATACTCACGTATTGTAAAAATCTATGCAATTCCGGATGCGTGTCTGGATTGTTTGTGACTTCGAAGAGAGGAAGGAAAACGTTTTGTAACATTTCTTCAAAATTATTCATCATGTTATTCGATTTAAATATGTCGCTGAAACGAAGAAAAAAAAATTTTTTTTTTTTTAAACCGATACCGATAACGTTCTGAACATTCGCCGTTAATTGTTTACTTACAATAATCTTGGAATTTGTATGAGCCATCTTATGTTGTCCGAATAAACTTTATATGTTATGGCCCATTTTGCAAGTTTATCCCATTCGTCGTAACTTTTTCCATAAATAGAGAGTCTAAGTTCGGCGTTTTGATATTTGCTTTCCTCCAAATCGGACGCTACTTCCTGATGAAAAAAAAAAAAAATTTTACAACCATAACTACACACACGTAAAAGTGTCATTTCGACGTTTTTTTCCCACTCACTTTCAAGATACCAGCAAAATATTTTCCATTGATAAAATTGTCAGTTTTTAAAAAAACTTCCCGGAGTCTGCTTTCACCGATCGGATTGTATTTGGCATTGAATTTATCAAATCTGTGAAAAGTGTTTCGATCCTGAAAAGCGAAGAAAAAAAGTCCGTTAAATTTAAAAAGGTTTCGAAATATTTTTTTAAAAGACGTAAATAATAATAAAAAATTTTAATTAATTTTTTTTTTTTTTTTTTGCTCTCTTGCAGCACGAATTACGTATGCTTAAGACGGTGGAGGACAGACAGACAGACAGACAGACAGACATGTCGAGTGCTTCTTACCGCGTGAACATCAAGCATATCTACGGTGAGATCATAAGCCGTCAGGTTCATGGATTCGAAAACCTGTCGAAGAGTCATTTGTTTCCCGTTGGTTATGGTAACAACTTCGTCGGCGTTGTGCTTGAGAGTTTTTTTTATAAAACGCAACAAGTGTTTTTGATTCATTGCAGAAGCCGCGTGGATGTGAGTGTCTACCTTCCGGATATTGTAGAAATCCCTATGCGGTACCTGCTTTTGCGAAGCAAGCTCGCGTAACTCGTTCAATAAAACGTGAAGTTGATATTTTGATGATAAATAGCATAAACGACGATAGCAAAATGATTTTCTACAAAATAATAATTAAACGAACTTCTATGTAGTCACTATACCCAACTCTCTTATAATCTCTTGTTTAAAAAAAAATACTTCATCTTTCTTTTCTTATTTTTAATTTTGCCACGACTTTTTTTAATTTTTTTTTTTTTTTTTTTGGCGGAGGCTCATTGAAGATGAAACAAAACAGACAAGGCTGAAAGAATAATGGAAAGATGATGCTACCAATTTACGACACTAATAAATTGCACTTGTGGTTTACTATAACTTGAATTTTACAATCAATCAATCAATTGTTAATGTGAAAATGTGTAAAGAAAAAAAAAATGTTTTTAAACGTACCTAATTGTAAGACACGATTAACAGTTAGTGACACTATCTATCTTATTTATAAATAAATGTGTAAAAAAATTAAAAAAAAAAAAGAAAGAAACGAGCCTTCACCGGATATTTATTTCATTTCAAAACCATCTTTTTTTTTTTTTTTCTTGGCTACTACCACTTGTATAAATAATAATAATAATAAGTAAAAAAATAAATAAATAAATAATATGATGAAAACTCACAGGGGACCATCTGCTATCATAGTGCACATTTGTTGTGTGTCTGACACAAAAGTGTTCAAATCGGGAAACGTATAAAGAATATCTTTGTCTCCCTTTTTTTTAAACACGTTGAAAACTCCGGATTTCATTTCGAAAAAATAATTTTTCGGACTGGGAACATCACATTCCCATGGATTTTCACTTGTCGGAGGAGGATGAACGGGATGCTCTGAAACCAAAACACGTTCTCTCATTCAAATGTATTAAAAATTAATTTTCCTACTAAAAAAAACAATGGAAAGGATGAAATAAACCTTCTATGGGTTTCCTTTCTTCGTGTTTAAATTCGACATTTTTTTTGGAAGCAACGGAATCTAAAAATTTTGACATGACCGAAGGAAAATTTTGTCCTAATGCACTCATGTATTTTTCTCTCATTTGAAGAGCAACAATGAGAAGTTTTGACGCAGATTGAAGATCTTCATAAGAAACCTGAAAACAAAAAATGAATTTCATGCAAAAAATGATAAAATTAGTGAGAGAGAGAGAGAGAGAGAGAAAACAAAGATTCACCCCTGTGGTATCTTCTCCAGAAACTGAAACTCTTTGAAAATCTGGAATGATGTCATCATCATCCATCGAATATTCATCCTCTCCGTCAGGCATACCAAATGATGACATTCCGTGACATTTTTTTTCATCTGCATGACCGGCAATTCTAACAATTGGAAAAAAAACATACATATAAGAAATCAAAGGAAAAAAAAAAAATTCCTTTGTTAAAATTATAATTACGAACTGAATAATTTTTTTTACAGTCATACAAACCTGGTCAATTGTCTTTGAATGGCTAATTTTGTTTCTATTTGTTCAATTGGAAATTGAGGCACTTCGTAGGGGGCCGATATCTCATTTGGAAGTTCCAAAATATTTTTTTCATTTTGCGGTTGAACGGGTGTTGGCGAACCATTGTTATACTGTGGAGAAACGTCACTACCTGTGAAAATAAAAAAAAAAATCCAAAGATTTAATTAAACATGTTAAAAACTGAAATCTTACCTAATCAAAAACTTTCATGTGACACAAACAAAAGCAAAAAAAAAAAATTTTTTTTTAAATTGTTATTTTACACACTCACTTGCACAAGGTACAAGGTTCTAAAAGGTTAAAAACCGTTATAAATTGTTAATTTTTTTTTTTTTTTTTATTACGTAATAGTTAAAAAAAAAATGGGAAAATTGGGATAAATTTTTTTTTCAACAGTCAATTAAACATTTCAACCGACCATTAAAATTAATGAGGAGACCAAATCAATTTTTCCGTTAAAAAAAAAAAAAATTAAATCCGTTAAAAATATCAGCAGGACTATAAATAAATTATTATTATTATTAATTTTTTTATTATAAAAACAAGCAAAAAAAACTACATTTTTGTTAAATAAATAAATAATAATCAATACTACTACTACTAATAATAATAATAATACTAAAAATATTTTAATCTAAATTTTATTTGATTATGCACACCCGATTTAATCCGGGTGGGTGGGGGGAAAGGAAGAGGGAAAAGAAAAAAAAAAATTCGTTAAAAATAAATTATTGAAAGAATAAAAAGAATACCTGAAGGTTTTTTTCGTGTGTACTTACTAGATCTTTCCCTATACATAAAAGTAACATCGGGCTCTGAATTAGCGGATGATTTCCGCCATTTCCACTGATTAACATCAGACAGCAATCCTTGTGCGGAATCCATTTTTCAATATTAAAATATAACGATCGAACCTTTCGATAAAATAATAATAATAATAATAAAATGTAATTCTAAACATAAATTAAATAACAAAACAATAAAACAAAAGTTAAAATAAATTTTATAACAAATGAAACAATAATCAAAGTCATAATAAAAAAACCGAAAAGTAAAATAATTCTCTTAGAACACACATTTATCAAATAAATTAATCTCGAATCAACCAATGACCAAGCTTCGACAAAATTTTTTTGCATAAATTAAGTAAGGGGGGGAAAAAAAAAACCGTCAAAGATGATGATTTTGTAAAACTGCGACAAAAAAAAAAAAAAAAAAGACGGCAAAAAATTATCAAATGACGTCATCGAAAATTTTCGTAGTTGCAGGAATTGCATTGAATACAAACCGACCACCCAATCCCACCGCATACAAAACCGTATTCAATTTCTTTCATTTTTCTTTTTTTTTCTTTTTCGTGATCAAAATAAAGCTTACATGTTATTATTATTATTATTATTATTTAAATGCATTCGTGCCGTACGTAAATTTCATATTTAATTAAAATATAAATAAAATTAATTAAAAATAATAATTTTTTTTTATTTTTTTTAATTTATAATATTAAAAAAAAAAAATTTCCCTTTTTAATTTTTGTAACTGTTGCCAGAGGTCACTGCCTTCGCTGTCGCCCACATTTACAAAAAAAAAAAATTATTATTTTTTATATACATAATGACTTCCTGAAATAAACTCTTTCAACGATTTATTTTTAAGTTAAAATAAAGTTAATAAATTTACGACCTTTATAAGCTTAAAAAGAAATAATAATAATAATAATAATAATAATAATAATAATAATAATATTTAAACTCGAACACTTGTTTTAGGCCCCCCCAAAAAAAAAAAAAAAAGAAAAAAAAATGGCATGGAATTTTTTTTTTAAACAAAATACAATGGCATATTATTATTATTATTATTATTATTATTATTTCTTTAAGTCGGCTTTATGCTATACAAAAGCTTTGTAACGAATGAAAAAAAAAAAAAAAAAATGATTTACAACTAAACACTTTCTCTATTTCTTGGTCTCGATAACATAAACAATTTATATTAACTATAATAAATTTTTTTTAAGAAAAAAAAAACATGAGCTAATTTTTTTTTTTTTTTTTTTTTTTTTTTTTTTTTTTGGTCTTAGGGTTAAAAAGTTATCATTAATAATACTAATAATTTTTTGTTTAAAAAAAAAAAATTTTTTTAAACGTGGAACAAACAACATAATATTGACGTGTTAATTTTTGCACGACAAAAAATTTAAAAAAAAAAATATGTCAAAAAATAAAATTGTCATTTCGACGTGAGAAAAACAAATAATTGATTTTGATACTGGAAAGAGAGAGAAAGATAGATAGATAGATAGAGAGAGAGAGATAGAGAGAGAGAGAGAAATTCAATTATACGTAAAAGCTTTTCGTGTCTCTCACAAAAAAACAAAAAACAATTTCGCCATTTTTTATTTTTTTTTGTTCTCACGCTCTTTGATTCCCGTTACAATAATAATAATAACAATAATAATAATAATACTTGTTTGTATTTTTTTAAATATTAAAAAAAAAAAAAAAAAAAAAAAACAAATTTTTTTATGTCACACAAAAAAAACTCTGTCAAGTACAAACAAAATGTTTATCACGACGACGATACAAACACTTTTACAATAATATTTGATTGATAACGCAATAAAATTATTATTATTATTATTATTATTATTATTATTATTATTGAAATTTCCAATCGTTCGACCGGAAAAATGCGAAGAACAAAAAAACAAACGACTGAAAGTTTAAAAAAAAAAAAATTTTCTTTTCTTTTCATAAGGATTAAACGTTACGTAAGTTAATTAGAGAAAAAGATGAAAAGCATAGAATAAGAAAAATCAATTTTTTTTTTTCGTTTAATAGGACTTCGTGACGTCATAACAAAAAAAAATATGATAACGATGATGATGATGATGATAATAATAAGAAAAAAAAATGCCCTCGAATTGAATTAAGTACGAATAATATTTTATTATTATTATCATCGATAATAAATTGATTCGAACGTAACAAATGATAATAATAATAATAATAATAATAATAATAATATCCATTTTATTTTTTCATAATGTTTAAATAAAATAAATTAAAATGGCTAACACGATTGATGATGATGATGATGATGATGATAATTACGTAAGAAAAAATTACATGCGTTTATCAAATGATTAACAGGGTTGTACAACAATCAACAATCAAAAACAAATATGGCGAATATTGAAATTTGTCGTTGTGTGAAAAATACGGAAAATGTTTTTTTTTTTTTATTGGAAATAATAGAAAAAGTACACACAAAGTATTATTATTATTATTATTTTCACACGGAAAATTATCAAGTTAATAATGATGATAAGAGTGATAAAGTGGTGGTGGTGGTGGTAGGAGAGTTTTTAAAATCATTTTTTTTTTTTTTTCTGAAATGAGGAAAATGGCCGATGATAAAAAAAAAAAATTTTTTAAATTTCAGAAAGGGAAAAGGGGGGGGGGTAAATTTTTCTTTTGGCAAAGAACCTGGGATAAATTTAACAACAACAACCGGCATGTTTGTTTTTTTCGTTTTATATCACATACATCTCAGTATTTTTCTATTATTCCTTATTTTTCTACAATAAAACTAATTTTTTTTTGTTTTCCTAATATTTAACAAACACTTTGACAAACAAAAATGAAAAAATATCAAACGTGACGTTATGATGAAAAATTTAACAAAAAAAAAAAAAAATTCAATCTTTTGTTCGGTTTGCAATTTTCCCAGGGGGAAAGGGGGGGGGGGGGGGGGGGGGGGGGAGAAAAAAAAGTTTCAAAGAAACAAAACCAAAGGGATCGGTTTAAATACAAATGCGGAATTTTTTTTTTAGAAACAAAAAAAAAAAAAAAAAAAAAAAAAAAGCCCAGAACTTTGATAGAAATCATGAAAATTTACTTGTAAGGGTAAAACTAATGCCACGTTCAAAACTTTTTTCATTCGAGTATTTTATTTTATTTTATTTTTTTTTTGCAATGCAATGGAAAAATATATTTTTTATTTACGTTATTGTATCAGGTACTGGATGAAAAACAAAAAAAAAACCTAAGCTCAAACCTTAAACTGAAATATCTTGTGGGCAAACAACCGGAACGAATTTTACAAAAAAATATATAACGGAAATTTAATAAAGTAAACATAAATGGAAAATCAAGTTGGGTATTGCCACCACCATCATAGACATCACGATTATCGACACGTTTTAAAAATTTCAAAAAAAAAAAAAAAACAAATTTACCATTATTATTATTATTATCATTATTAATAAATAAAAGCTTATTAATAATATTCTTAAAAGATAAGATTCATTTTATTTTATTTTAATATAAATATTTAATAATAAAACAAAATTTTTCATTTTTCATATATGTATATATGATTACTCATCACGTTTTGTAAATATTTTACTTTTGGCGACAAAAATCCCTTATTTTTTTTTTTTTTTAAATTGAATTACGGTTGAAAAGAACATTTGCATGTGTACATTATTTAAAAATGGAGATTTTTGCAAATCGAAAAAAAATTGAAATTTAAAATGAAATTTTATTTGAGTTTTATCTTATTTAAGAATTATTTTATAAATAAAATGTATTAAAAATATTGCGTTAAAATAACTGAATTTAATTTCAAACGATTTAGGTATTATTATTATCACTATCACTTCATTTAATTCAAAGAAATTTTTTTTTTCGTTTTGTTTCGTTATATAATTTAGAATTTCAAAAATTAAAAATTCTTTTTTTTTTTTTTTTTTTTTTTTTTTTACACATGACGAGGTAGAAAAAGGCTTAATATGATCGATCATAAAAATAATTTAAAATCGTAAAAATTAAAAAAAAAAAAAAATTAATCGTTTATTAAATGGGGCAAAAGTTTTGTTTATTTAAATTCGAACCAAGAAATTTTACTTTCATCCACTTAAATTCAATTTTTATTCTAATTAAAAAAAAAAAAACGATCGTTGATTTATTTTTTTTTAACTCTCTCTTTCTCTCTCTCTCTCTCCCCCACTCTCCATTATATCAATAAAAATAAATCGTCATTAAAAATTTTATAATGAAAAAAAAAAAAAAAAAAATTGAAAATCAATTTTCAATTAATTTTTTTTACTCCTCCTTATAATCCTTCATTTTATTCATTTAGTAATTAATACATAAGAGTATTTCCTTAATTTACAACAAAATTAAATAAAACTTTAACATGTTTTCAATTGGGGAAAAAGAAAAAAAAAAAAAAATAATAATAATAATAATAATTTGTAAGTATTAAGATTATAAAATTTTGTAAATGTTAAAAGAACATTGTCGATTAATTTAAAAAGATACAAAGAAAATTTCATTTTATTTATTTTCAACAATGAAAACACAAAGATTAAAAAAAAAAAAATATTTTAAATATGTATATTTTAAATACAGATAAATGAAATTATTATTTATTTACTGTACTCATTTTTTGTTTTTGTACACGAGCAAAGAACCGACTATTATTTACTGGTGTAAAAAATTAGATAAGAATAGACGAATATTAATAATTGAAAATGTTTATCACATTTTTTTTCTTTTATTTGTAAAATTTAAGGAATTACACTTACATATGACATTTACCATAAATGAAACTATGCTTTTTTTTAAAAACAAAACCTGTATAATGAACATTCGATTATGCTTATCGAACATGAATGCAAAGAAAATTACATTATTCAGAGACTTCATTCGAAATCTCTGGCAATATATTTTGAAATCATATTTTATTAATTAAATAATAGACTATTAAAATAAATTAAATGGAAGAAAGTATAAAATTAAAAAAAAAAAAGAAATTTATTATTAAAAACACATATAATTTTTAAATATATATGTATTTTTTAATAACGATAAAAATTAATGACAGTAAAAGACAAATTTTTATGGTCACAAGTATTTGTATTTTTTGGGAAATGCAAGCAGTAGATAACATGTGCTTAAAATTAAGAATGATTTAAACTTTTCAAGTTAAAAAAGAAAACTGATTTATTTTTAAATACTAAAATATTCGTTTCTTTTCTCTCATAGTTAATAGTCTATAACAAAAAGTAAAAAAATTTTAGGTCCCTTACAAAGAATAGTTAGATTTCAGAATGAAAAAGGTAATTTTTTTTTGACTTTACCGTTTAGAAATTTACATACTAGTATTTATTTATAATAATATAATTTTATTTAACTACTTTTTTTTATTCGTGAAAAAAAAATGAAAAATCACATAAGTAATACTTAAATAATTTGACTAAAACTTATTATATATTTAACATGCTAAAATTTAAACTAAGTTACTTTTAATTCAATTAACTACAGTATTTTTAATTAAATTTTTTTAAAGTTTCGATAGATATATAAAAGTTTATTGTTACTTACTCATAATATAATTATTTAAAATAATTCGGCGAAAAATTATTAGTAATATATATTTTGTGACACACAGAGAACGATAACCTGCACGGTATTAATAGCTGTGTAATGAAAAAGTCAAATATTTCACATTACTAGAAACCATGATATATATTAACAGTGTTGCCAAATTTTTATTATATTAACTGCATTTAATAAATTATACATTTATTAATAATTCAAAATTTATTTTTTAAATTTAATTATAATCCAGTTTAAAATTATATTTATTATCTATGTACGATATAAATTTACAGCATGCATTTTTATAAATATTAAAAAAGAGGCTTAATAAAAAATAAATACAAATATAAATAAGACTAAATTTTTTATTTAAAATTTTCCTTTTTGGAACTTTTAAACAGTGTCAATAAAACTAAATTATTTGTTTATTTAGAGTATTGCATTTTTTATAAGTAAAATTTTAACGGATTGTATTAAAAAGTAACTGCTTTAAAATAAATTTACTATTTAATTGTAAATGAAGAATTATGAAATACATGTGGTAAAAGTATAAGAAGGAATGAAATACGTTGGACAGACATATAAAATTACATGAAAATTACGATAAGGTTTATAAAAATATTAATATTCATTTATCATACATAATTATTGAAAATTTTCATATATTAGATAAATTTGGCAACGTAATAAAAAAAAATGGGGGAGTTTTGGAATTTTTTTAAGGCGAGGTGCACAGTCGTAGAGGGCGGTGATTAATAAACTCTGGTTAAGAAAATGGCTGCTTGTAAAGTGAGAGGAAATGTCTTTGTTTAGTTTTTTATTTTATTGAAAATTTAATAGTACAATGCCTAGTGCTTCGTTTACTTCAACACGTTCTTATGTTCGAAGATCCCGTAGGAAAGGAGTAAATCGAATTCCTATTCCATCTCGTACGAATGCAGGTAAATTTAGTTAAATAAAATTGCCTCAATACAAATGGCCGAGATGTTCGATTTTTATTCAAATCTCTTTGTTAGAATTTAAAAATTTACCTCTCGGTTTAATTTAAAAGAAAGCCTGATATTTTCATATTTATTTTTGAACTTTTACATAAAAAAAGCCAATCTATTTTGGTAAAGCGTGTAAATGCAAATGCTTGTTAGCTCAGCTGAATAGGCTTATGTAGTTACCTGTTTCTAAATGATTTAAACGCTTTTACATTACTAACCTCTTTTATAATGTATTAGCCTACATAGTTAAATATGGTTTATTTTAAACTTTGAAAATGTGTTGTTTGTAATATTTTTATATGAAATAAAGATAGGTATTGAAACTTACTTGAACTGTTTAACTTATTTTGTATGCAAAAATATTTTAATAAAAGGTATATATATTTACATACAATTTACATTACTTTTCTAGTAATGTAAATGATGATGAAAATCATTGGATACATGCTACATATTTATTATTATTATTATTATTATTATTTTTGAGTAAGAAATTTTAATTTAAAAATTAATTTTATATTCATCTTTTTTTTATAACTAAATACCTTGTTAAATTATTGTCTTTAACTAAAATTCAAAGCCATTAATAATGTTATTATAAAATTTATTTAAAATTTTTGCTTGTTAATTTGTAGAACAATGTGATCTGCCAGGTCAGCCTCCCAGTGGAGCAGCTTTGGGATCTGGTGGGAATTCAGCATCTTCAGTAGCTGCAGGAAATGCGTGTACAAGTGCTGCTACTCCTTCTACTGCTGGTTTACCATCGGGCAGCAATCATAATCCACCATATGATTTAAGAAGAAAATCTCCTCCACATGCTCAGGATACTTGTCCAAGCACCAGTGGATCTTCCTCTTCTGCATATATGACATCAATGCTTCCTGCTAGGAAAAGGCCTCGCAGGTCTTGCCCGTATTTGGGTGAGGGTGAGTAAAATTAATTTTTTATAATGAAAGTATTTTTAATTTTAAAAACTGGTTTAATGTCAGAAGTAGAAAATAATTCTGTATCAGGGACTTCCAATCAGGCAGCTCACTACCTTCAATATGAACTGCCTGATGAAGTATTACTCACTATCTTCAGTTACCTTCTTGAACAAGATTTGTGTCGTATCAGCCAAGTATGTAAACGCTTCCAAACAATTGCCAATGATAATGAGCTATGGTATGTTTCATTTTTTATTTTACTGTTATAAACATTTTATAAATATTACAACAAAAGATAAACTTTGAATATTTTATTATAGGAGGACATTATATCAAAATGTGTATGAATATGATTTGCCACTGTTCAACCCAGCTCCGTGCCGTTTTGAGTTTGTGAATCCCGTCGATTCTGATCACATAAATCCTTGGAAGGAAAGTTTTCGTCATTTGTACCGCGGAGTTCATGTCCGACCCGGTTACCAGGAGAAAACTTTCCGAGGCCGAAATATATCTTATTTTGACACTGTTCAAGGTGCTTTGGATTACACTGAAGAACAAAGTTCAAATGCTGCTGGTGGAGATGAAGAAGCCCCAGGAGCATTAATATTTCTTCACGCTGGAACTTACAGAGGAGAATTTCTCGTTATCGATTCAGATGTATCAATTATTGGTACGGATGCTAATTACATTTAAAATAAACCAATAATTAGAATTTTTAATTTTCAATCATCACAAATTGTAAACGAAATATTAAATGTTTTTGGTAAACGTTTATCAAAACAGGAAAATTAAGAAAGCTTTATAATTATCATCGTTTATAATTTAGATAATTTTCATTAAGTATGATTTAATGGCTTTATTCAGAAACAAATTTCTGAGAATTAATAAAATCTATGCTCATCAATTATTAGTTTCAAATTTTTCATAGTGTCTATAGATTCTAATAATTATTATTTTTGCCTAAAGTTACAAAAAAAAAAAAAGTTCTAATTGAAAAAAACTTTTTTTTTCTTTTCAATTTTCAAAGGTGCTGCTTCTGGCAATGTTGCTGAATCTGTCATATTAGAACGTGAAACCGAGTCAACTGTAATGTTTGTGGAAGGAGCTAAAAAAGCATACGCGGGTCACTTAACTTTAAAATTTTCTCCTGACGTGACGTCTACAGTCGCTCATCACAAACATTATTGTTTAGAAGTGGGCGAAAACTCGAGTCCAACGGTTGATCACTGTATAATTCGAAGCACTTCAGTCGGTGAGTTTGAAAAAAATTTTTTTTTTTTTTTTTTTTGTGTGTGTGACTGCGGTCAAATATCGAAGAATTCAATTTTAATAAATTAATTTGGGTTAATTTTAGTGGGAGCAGCGGTTTGCATTAACGGTGTGGGGGCCAATCCAGTCATAAAGCACTGTGATATAAGTGACTGCGAAAACGTTGGTCTCTATGTAACAGATTTCGCTCAAGGAATCTATGAGGACAACGAAATCAGTCGCAACGCCCTCGCTGGAATCTGGGTTAAAAATTATGCCAATCCAATTATGAGGCGTAATCACATTCATCACGGACGAGACGTTGGAATATTTACATTTGATAACGGATTGGTAAAAAAAAAAAAAAAATTTCTGCGTTCTCATTTTGATCTCATTCATATGGAGATCGTAAATGTTTTTTTTTTAAATTTTAGGGATATTTTGAAGCTAACGATATTCACAACAATAGAATAGCAGGTTTCGAAGTGAAAGCTGGTGCGAATCCAACGGTTGTTCACTGCGAAATTCATCACGGACAGACGGGTGGCATTTACGTTCATGAAAACGGTTTAGGTCAGTTTATAGACAACAAAATACACTCGAATAATTTTGCCGGAGTGTGGATAACTTCGAATAGTAATCCAACCATACGAAGAAATGAAATATACAACGGGAACCAAGGAGGAGTTTATATATTTGGTGAAGGTCGTGGGCTAATTGAACATAACAACATTTACGGTAAAGGAACATGTCTTAATAAAAAAAAAAAAATTTTTGAATTCTTAAACTTACTTTTTTATTATTATTATTATTATTATTTTTACAGGAAACGCTTTAGCAGGCATTCAAATTCGTACTAACAGCGATCCGATCGTCAGGCACAACAAAATTCATCACGGTCAACATGGGGGAATATACGTTCATGAAAAAGGCCAAGGTTTGATTGAAGAAAATGAAGTTTACGCCAATACTTTAGCAGGAGTTTGGATCACTACCGGTTCAACCCCTGTTCTTCGCCGTAATCGTATACATTCTGGAAAACAAGTCGGAGTATATTTTTACGACAATGGACACGGAAAATTGGAAGATAATGACATATTTAATCATTTGTATTCTGGTGTTCAAATTAGGTATAAAATAAGTAACTTAATTAATTATTATTATTTTTTTTTTTTTTGTTTTATTGAAGTTTTTTAATCATTAACCGTTTTTTTTTTTTTAGAACCGGTAGCAACCCCATTATCAGGGGTAATAAAATTTGGGGTGGTCAAAATGGTGGCGTACTAGTTTATAATGGAGGTTTAGGACTTTTAGAACAAAATGAAATTTTCGACAATGCAATGGCCGGTGTTTGGATTAAGACTGATTCGAATCCTACTCTTAAGCGCAATAAAATTTTTGACGGTCGTGACGGAGGGATTTGTATATTCAACGGAGGAAAAGGTTTGTTAATAATAATAATAATAATAATAATAATATACGAGACGTTTGATTATGGTTTAGTTGTTCCTCCTTTAATAAAAACCCATATTATTTTATTTTTCAGGTATTCTCGAAGAAAACGATATATTTCGAAATGCCCAAGCGGGTGTTTTGATAAGCACTCAAAGCATACCGATTCTAAGAAGGAATCGGATTTTTGATGGTCTTGCCGCAGGAGTTGAAATAACGAATAACGCGACAGCCACTCTTGAGTACAATCAAATATTTAATAATAGATTCGGAGGGTTATGTCTGGCAAGTGGAGTCGAGCCTATTATTAGAGGTAAATAAAGGTTTTCGACTGGAACATGAATTTTTTTGTTTTTGCTCTTGTTGGTGTTGGTGTTGTTGTTTTTTAAAAACGATTTTTTTTTTTTTAGGAAATAAAATCTTTAATAATCAGGATGCCGTCGAAAAGGCGGTGAGCAATGGGCAATGCCTGTATAAAATTTCCAGTTACACATCATTTCCCATGCACGACTTTTATAGGTGTCAGACATGCAATACGACTGATCGAAATGCCATATGTATTAACTGCATAAAAACTTGTCATGCTGGTCATGACGTTGAATTCATTCGTCACGATAGGTGAGTGGTGGTGGTGGTGGTGCCGGTGCCTTATAAATAATAATAATAATAATAACAAAATTTCCAAAATGAATAACTCTAATCAAAATTTTGATTTTTTAGGTTCTTTTGCGATTGCGGTGCAGGAACTTTAACGAATCAATGTCAGCTTCAAGGTGAGCCTACTCAAGACACGGATACCTTATACGATTCGGCAGCACCCATGGAATCGCACACTCTCATGGTGAATTAAGGAGGAGGGAAAAAAAAAAAAAAAAAAAAAAAAAGAAAATTTAAAAGTGATTTTTTTTTTTATTTTTATTATTATTATTATTATCTTCGTTTCTTTTGTTTGTTTGTTTTTTTTTTTTTTTTTTTTTTTTTTTTTTTTT